GAATGGCACCCGCACCCACACCAGAATTCTCCCGCTCCGGCGACGTTGTCGACCTCTCGGAAAGTCTCTAGACACCAGGCGGGGAGGGGCAGGCCAAATACCTTCACCCTCCACCGCTTAACTCCTCCGCGCTCATATATTTTTTCCATATTTGGAGACCAACGAAATAAATTTAAAAACCTACCCCCAATCGAAAAGGACCTTGTTCTAGAATTCTAATTGCCTCTAGCTCCGATTCCAGAACGAAAAGAAGCCGACCTCCAGCCAACCGTCTAATTGTTCTTGCAAATATGACGACCATGGCTTCTCACCTTCGAATTCCCCTATCAGACATTTAAGTAACCAGGCCTCCCTCTCTCACACCCCAACTCCACCACTCGGACTCTTACACCCACTAGGGTTACCTCTACCGCAGATTCACCTTTCTCTAGGAATCCGAACTGGGTGACTTCATGGCACTTAATCCGAAAAGTTGGTCCCTTTAACTCAGGGCCTGTTTGGCGTATTTTTCTGCACAGTTTTTTGGCTGTTTACAAGCTGTAAAAACCAATTTTCAGTCTATTTTCATTTGGTGTGCAGAAGATCTAGTCGCCAAAAGATAAAATGCCGAAAAAACGCAAGAAATCCATTTTGGGCTGATTTCGGGAAGCTCTAAATGAGCTTCTCACGTCTTTTGCTTTTTAATCTCGTGCGGAAAGACACACGAAAAGATGCGCGTCTATCAAACATACTTCAAGTTGCTCAAATCTTTTGCATGTCAGCGCGAAAAGCTTAATACATTTTTTGCATGTCAGAACTACCAAAAGATCTTCCAAAAAAAATGCACCAAGTTAGCCTTAAACTAGTGGCCACTACAAATATTAAGTCCTTGTAATTCATTAAACATTTCAAAGATATATTTGGGAGGTTTTCTACTTTGTATTAAGTCCTACATGGTATTGCATTTTAGAAGCCAACGTCACCTCCAAAAAGCCAGAAATGGCATTTGATGAACCAAAAGGCTAGAAAATCAAGTTTAGAAGAAGCTAATAAAAAATGGCTTCTAGCTTCTTATTTTGGAAAAGCCCTTCCATAAATAAAAAGCCCGTATGCCACACCAAATGCACTTGTCTAATTTCAAAGAATGCTTATGTGAAAGTCCTTTTAGATAAAGGAAAAATAAAAGCCCGTATGCCCCCTTTATCATGCTGTCTAAATTCTGAAATAGGGCTTTTCTTGAAAAAAGTAAAAGAAAAAACAAGATAATAAAGGCCATGTTTGGTTTACTGTTCCAGGCCTTCTCTTTTAATTTTTTTTCTCACTTTAGGCAGGAATGGGCAATAATGAATAACATTAGAGTGTTTGGTTACAAAATTCTTGTCATGGGCTACATTCCTTTTAGAATGAAAAAATCAGCCCATAGTATAAAAATTGAGGTAGCCTGTAGCATGAAAAATAATCATGCCCCATCTTGCTCATTTTCATTCTTTGAGGAAACTCTACCAAAAAAACTGATATCATAGATATTTACTAACAGACTACAATAGAAACTCACATCGATAGACATTGATTGTCGGCCATCCACTAGTAAACATCAATGCCAACAGTTTTAGAGACTTAGGCTGGTGGTTTATGAATATCAGCACAGTTTATATATATATATATTTTTGAAGAATGAAAATGAGCAACATAAAACACTTGTCAGTCTTAAAAGAATTCATTTTTAGGAAAAAAAATATTTCAATCATAACAATATTTGATCATTCTTCCTATTTTTACCTGTTCTTGTTCATTTTAAAATTTCATCTTAGATAAGAATTAAAAAGAACGAAAACTGAACCAAACATGGCCTAAAGCTTTCCACCACGCATGGTTATCATTTATCTTTCCTTCGTTCACTTTTCTGTGTAATTGTTGACTTTTAAAAACATTAAGTTATGCCTTTCTACCAACAATCTGCCAGTGAATCGCTGGAGTTTGGCCTCCATTTCAAGCATTTTTAAATTAACTGCCGGTTTAACTCTTGAGTGCTCTTTTATGAGGGCTGAAGCACAGTTTATGGCTCTCCAACATAGCCCCATACCATTACTAAATTTCTCTCTTATTGGAAAACGAGGGCTGAAGCACAGCTTATGGGATTTCCACACCGACCATTGAACTCAAGTTGGAAAATGGGGATTCATCCTATTTATTTCAGGAGGTTGGCTGCACTTGGCATGCTAAGAGAATCTTTGAAAATTGAAATTATAAGTTTTTGCAGTAGAGACTTAACCAAACAAGGTCTAAGAAACCCTGATTTAAAGTAGACAAAATCTATATGGTGCATTCAAAAAATTTGGAACATAACATGAGGTGAATCGTTAATGCTACTAGAGTCTTTAATGGTAAGTACACATTATGAAATGTGAATCAATAGACCATATGGCATCCTTTATATGATTGATTAAAATTTTGTTTCAGGGTCATCAATGCGGTGAAATTGATACTTTGAACCATGTAAAAAGTTTAAAATTGAGAGCTCAATTCTTTTATCAAACATCCAAAATAAGCATAGCACATACATTTATTATAGGGTAAATATGAAACGGTACACATGGTAGAAACAAATGTGGTACATGATAAAGATATAAAACCAGTAGATGCACTCCATACATGCATGGGTGGCCATAGGTCATCCAGTGCTTTATTAGATTACTAATATAATGCCATCTACAACCTATTTCTAAGACTCTAGAGCAAGAGAATCAATTCCTTCAAGCATCTTTTCTTCAAAATCCATGTAATCAAATGGTTCAGGGACACTTTCATTTACTTTCTCATATTCTATGGACTGGTGTTACAAAAGGACATATTGAACTTTTACATGAAGATATGAGCAACCTTAAGCTAGTTTTGCTATCATACTTCTTTCCGTTTGAGAATAAAGCAAGAAAAATGTGAAAAGCTTTATTTAGAGCTTCCCAAAATTAGTTCAAAATAGGCTTCTCACATCTTATCAACACTCTAACTTTTAGCGGCTACATCTTCCATGAACCAAATGAACAAAGACCGAAAATAGGTTTTTCAAAGTTCTAAACAGATGGAAAATAGCACGGAAAGACTTGACAAACAGGTTCCTAATAAAAAAGTTGCCGGTAATGAATTAGATGGTCTGGCTGCTGGGTCAGCTGGTGACGCATGGCATCATATTTATTTATAAAATATAAAAATATAATGTATGCCATGATATATATAAAAATAATAGCATTATCCATCCAATTTGTACAGATCTACCGTTCGAAATGGATTTTTATTGATATTATGAATCGTAATTAATCGACAAACTTCATTTCTCTAGAAGAATCGGCCGGATTTATTACTTCTAATTAAAAATTAAGCTTTATTGAGAAGAAAGGGACCCTCATCTATACATATTTCTGGTTGAGTCAGAAATTTAATGTGGTGTTTGGTAACGTGGTTGCTTTGAGGAGAAACGAGATGCACGTGTACAAATATACAATGTTAATGTTATTTCAGATTCAGTCCTCACAAAATTTGTAAAAAATTATAAGTACGAAAATAGTAATGTGGGTTAGCGTGGGCCTCCCCGCCCACTAACGTCTATTAGCGTCAGCAACAATCAGGAAGCCCTGGTGCCTCCATACGAAGTCAATTACCTAGCTGTCTGACATATCCGTTAGGGCCTCCAGCCTGACCTCGTACAAATTTCATCTGGGGCGTTCATCTTCACCTATCACTAGCACGCTTAACTATAAATAAGAGGTAACAACCCTTTACATCTTGTACAACTTGAGCATCGGAGCCTCTGCCTCGGGTATGCACCCCGAGGCCTCTAACATTCCTTGTCTTGCAGAAACTTTGGTCACTAGGAACTTTGCCTCAGCTTGTGGTCCTCGGCCACCATAGTCCTTGGAAGGAGAACCTCACCTCGGCTTGTAGTCCTTGGCTTTGGGCAACACTTTCCGAAGCCTTGGGGTCCTTTGCCAACCCTCAGAACCTGAAGAGTGAATTTACTTCGTTGCCCTCGGCCAATCCACGCAGCAACAACTGGCGTCTTCTGTAGGAATGTGGTTGCTAAGATGACCCCCACTTCAGGATAAACAATAATAACACTCTAGATCCAAACCCCCTTTAAGCTTGGAGGTCATGGTGAGGAGAGCTTGGAACAATCCGAACCTACTTATCTACGAGCAGTTTTAGGCCGTCCTCGATCGTTTGGATTTCCACACCCATGGCCGTCCTCGATCGAGCAGGAGGTCCCTCTCAAGGCGACCGCCCCCGTGGGGTGTCAAAGGATTAGGGCTGACACGAGAACATTGAGGTACCGACCCTCGGCCATGGTAATCCGTTGGCCGAACTATCAGAATTGGGCAACAACTGCCTCCTAGATTCCCCATGAAGGAATAATTGTCCTCCTAGCCGAAGGGAAAGCATGCCCTCTCAATCAGAAGACAGTCATCAATCTTCGAAGCAGCATCACAGCCGTCGTAGGGAGGCCCCCAGGACGACGGATGGTAGTTCGATCGCCTTGGAGTTCATTCCCGAGGTGAGAGCCGACGCCACCCCACTCCACCTCCTGTCTTAGGTCTCAAGGACATTCTAAATAATCGTTGCGCCCGCAGAGGAGCGCGCGACTCTGTCTCAGAGTATTCAGGAATCCAAGCCAACACCCATCGGGTCCACGTAGACAAAAGTAGGGCCCATTCCCGTGCAAACCTAGGGCTTGCCGATTTGCGAGCCGAGATTGGTGCCGTCAAGGACAAGCTCCGCCAAGTTAAGGAGAGCCAAGCCGATGCCTCAACCAGTCACAGCAACTCCGCTGGACGGATGGACGCATTCACTCCAGAAATCATCTCAGAGCCTCTCCCCCCACACTTCAAGGCTCCCACACTAGAGATGTACGACGGAAGCACTGACCTCGATGACCACCTGGAGAGTTTCAGGGTCATCAATGCGGTGAAATTGATACTTTGAACCATGTAAAAAGTTTAAAATTGAGAGCTCAATTCTTTTATCAAACATCCAAAATAAGCATAGCACATACATTTATTATAGGGTAAATATGAAACGGTACACATGGTAGAAACAAATGTGGTACATGATAAAGATATAAAACCAGTAGATGCACTCCATACATGCATGGGTGACCATAGGTCATCCAGTGCTTTATTAGATTACTAATATAATGCCATCTACAACCTATTTCTAAGACTCTAGAGCAAGAGAATCAATTCCTTCAAGCATCTTTTCTTCAAAATCCATGTAATCAAATGGTTCAGGGACACTTTCTTTTACTTTCTCATATTCTATGGACCATTTCACTGAGCTCTTGTGATGTCTTGGGATGACCTGAAAGTGCACCTTCAAGACTTTGTAATGCTTCATGACATCTCCATCATAGCATCCAAATGTGATTAGATTTTTTCCTTCATCTAGGGCTTCAATCCTTGCGGCCGTGTTCGAAACAGTTTTTCCATCTGTGATCAATAAAAACACTAAAATTAGGCAAAAAAAATCTGTAAGATCTAAAAAACTGATGATTCAGTTGCAATTTTCGTATCATAATTTAATCCAAAAGAAACATATCCAACAAAATAAGTCTTCATCTCACTAAATATACATATATACATACATACCAGACCATGGTGACAACACTTCCTTACAACCATCCAATGAAATTAAACAGGAATACACCACTCCAGTGGTGTAAATAGAAGAAAAAAGAAGCGAATTCATATGATGTTTGGAATTGGAGGCGTTGCAACAGATATCTATGTGTTACCTAAAGCATAATTAAAGTGTACAGCGGAGCCTAGGCTCTTTCCATCTCCTTCAAGTACTTTCGTGCGATGAGACTCATGAACTACGGCCTTGTGGAAGAGGTTCGGAAGGTCTATAAGACAGTGAAAGAACTTCTTTGCAGGGGCATTGATCTCCTTCTCAGACTCAAGCTTACCAGTAAGTGCCATGATGATGTAATTAAAACAAAGTGAATTGTAATACACAATGGAAAGAAAGAGATTGAAGAGAAGAAATGATCTTTGTACACACAAACTGGATTTTATAAGCTAGTGATTAGGGGCCTGTTTGGGAGAGCTGGGTTGAAGATTCATTAAGATTGTCCAGCTGCTTTAAAGTGCTCTTATCTCGATAAGGTAGTACTTAAAGAGCTTGCAAAGGACATCCCTTCGGATGATCGACTGACAGATTTGAACTATTAGGGTTTTTCACCAAACGTGATTTATATTCTATGCAAGTGAGGCCCACCAAACTGGCACCAGCAGCATGGATCATAGCTGGGCTCCAGAACAGCATTATAATATATATTAATATATAAAGTGTCTGTTTGGCATAGATGCATTGCTCCAGAAAACAGCGATACATCAGCGTTATTTCGGAAAAAATGGTGTTCCAAGAAATGTCTATTTGTTTGAAACCGTTTTTCAAACGGTTTGGCCTAGTGTGATCATAGGTGTGCTTTAAGCCACACCTTGGAAATCAGGAAGGCATGGCCTGGAGCAACGCTGAATTTGGCATTTCCTGGAGCTGCAGCTTGTTGTTGCCAACAGGAATATGAGGTGGCAGTAATTGGGACATGATGGCATTGGATAATAGGTACTAGTGCTAAAAACGTTTCCTGGAGCATTAGTACCAAACAGAAAACATTATTGTTACTCTAAAAAACGTCCTACTTGACAGCAACGTTTCCAAACAAAAAAATGACACCATTTTTCTGAGAATACGGTGCTTCTAACCCACACATCAATAGCACCGTTTTGTAAGAAAATGGTGTTGTATCTGCAACATCGATGCCAAACATATAAAAAGTGGATACTTACATTAGGGACAAGTCGCAAGTATTAAATTGATTACATAACATTTTCTAAATCCCCTCTCTTATTTGGTCTGATCTCTCGTAGCCTTCTGCTTACTTGACCGTCGGAGTTTTCACCCCTAACATATCTCTTGAAGCCTCTGACATCTTCTTTATTTATCTCAATAAGTTGGACCCACTGACCTCGGATACTAAAAATTACGTTATTGCCTTCGACTCCACATTTGGCAGCAACAAAAATAATTAAATACATTTTTAAAAAAATTAAAAAATCAAATCCTAGCTTCTTTTCATTCAAAACAATGTTTTAAAAACATTGTTGATACGGGCGGTTGAACTGTTTGACCCTAAAACCTGCCATAATGTTAAGCGAACCGTTGAAATGTTTGAAAATTTGAAATTTGAAAATTATTTATTTTTTGTGAAATTTGAAAATTAAAACTAGTGCTCTTTTCAGTTTTCACATTCTCTCTCTACTTATGAAATTAAAGGACACACGAGAAAAATGACCATTGGGACGCGCAGGACCCATTGTTATAAAATAATTGTTGTTTAAAGGAAAAAGTAGGGAAACTTTTACGAACCTTGTATGATTTCCTTACATTTCTCTTCTTTTTTCTATCTTTTCCTTTAATTCAAATATAGCCTAAGGGTGAAATATAAAAACCAAGATTTTCAAAATTGGACCGGACTGGAAAAATTAAAAATTAGTCAGATGATCGGTTTCGTTTTTTCTCAAAACCGGATTTTTGCAAAAAAACATTAATTTGGTCAGCAAATCGCAGACCCAGGCGTTTGAACTGTTCAACAATTTTGACCATTTTTTATTTTTTTGTCAAAACAGACCAACCAACCATTCGATTCGAACAGTCGGACCATTCAACCCGAAAACCAGACTCCAAACTGATTTGGTGTCCGAATCGGTTTTAAAAACCTTGATGAAAACCTCTCTTTTAATTTTAAAAATGAAGATCTATAATCACCTCCCTTTCGTCATCTTCTTGGGTAAGAATTAAAGTTAAGAAACTAGCGTTGCTATCCCTCCGCATCATTCTACATAATCCAATCTCAAACTAGTCATGTAAATTCCAAATTAAGCGAACTGCCAAGATAATTAGGAATATGAGATTATGAGAACAGCCAAGATAATGGATTCTAAGAAACAAAAACGTTTCCTTCGTTCATTTGGCCCGAGCTGATTTTCAAGTTCCCTTCGATCGGCAGTTTAACATCAAGCCTCAGAGTAATTGCATTAATATTAGTGTGGTCTAAATTGTCATAGTTTCATGTTCAAACCAACTACCATCTGCTCCTATTATCATGCATGTAGTCAATGTCTCCAAGGCGGTTGATGGAGGTAGGAATCAACCATCAACAAAACGCTCCCAACACTGTCCTAAAAGTCCAATTCGACTGCAAATTGAAAGCATCTCCTTTGTTATTCATGGGCCAGATGTTCCTGCTGTACAGCTGAAATGGCTAATTGAGATGTTGGGACCGTATATGAGGAGCTGATTCGGACTCAGTTTATGGTACTTGTAATAATTCTGGTGTACAGCTTTCTGGTTTAGCCAATTCAAATGTCTTAATTTTTAATGGAAAATCGGATTTCACTACAGGAAAATGGGGTATAGCTATGGTCAAAAAAACCGTAGCTAAAACATGAATATAACCACATTTTATCCATGGCAAAAAGTTGAGCTTTAGCTATGGATAATTTGTCTGTGGCTAAAAGTTATTTTGTCCGTGGTTAAAAGATATTTATAGCCACGGTTATAATGTATCCATGGTTAGACCTGTTCATGGGCCGGGCCGGGTTGGGATCGGACTGGGCTTTTACTCATCATTAATGGAAATACGCTAGGCCCGAGCCCAGGCCCAGCCCGACCAACAGGCCTATAACATGGGCCCAAGCCCGACCCTGATAAAAAGCCTGAAGCCCGAGCCTGAGCCCGAAGCCCGACCTAATAAAAAAAATTACAATTTTCCCTATTCAAATTAGAATTAAAAATTCATATGGTTTTTTTCCTATTTAAATGAACAATGGGCCTACAAGATGGTTTTTTTCCCTTTCTTTTACATTTTAAAACACAATTTTACATTCTTAAATCAAAAAATTTATTCAAATGAACATAATCACATAACCCATTTTAAGTCTAATTTTAGGTCGGGCCGGGCTATTTTGACAAAACCCTAGCTCGGCTCGAATTTATTGCGGGCCGAGCTTTTTGGCCCAAGTTTAAGCCCGTAGGCCTATAAACATGTTTAAGCCCGTTCGGGGGCCGGGCCGGCCCGTCGACCTGGCCCATGAACAGGTCTATCCATGGTTATAAGCTACAAAAGTAGAAATTCAACTTTGTGTCCGTGGTTAAAAGTTGAGCTTTAGCTACGGACAATTTGTCTGTGGCTAAAAGATATTTATAACCACGGTTATATTGTATCTGTGGCTATAAGTTACAAAAGCAGAAGTTCATCTTTAGCTACGGACAATTTGTCCGTAGTTAAAAATTTTTCTGTCCATGGCTAAAAGATATTTATAGCCATGATTATAATGTATCCGTGGTTATAAGTTACAAAAGCAGAAGTTAACTTTAGCTATAAACAATTTGTCCGTGGTTAAAAGTTATTATGTCCGTGGCTAAAGAGCTATTTATCACTATAGCCACGGATAACTAAAAATTCCGTGGCTATAATTACGAAGTTAATCATCTTTAGCTACAATCATTTTATTCCTAGCTCATAAATAGTAATCATATAATATTCATTTAAAATATTTGTTATTTATTAATTACTTTTTATAGTAAATTAATAATTAAAATTTTATTAAAGTAAATGAATATAATTAATAATTAACAAATTATTAGCTCATCACTATTGCATAACAATAATAATTAATGATTTCTATTTAATAATAATTAAACTAGAAAATAAATTATTAATAATTTCATAAATACATTAATAAAAAGAAAATAATTTCTAAAATAGAAAAAAATAAGTATTAATTATTATTTTATTAGTTAAAACTAATCATCAAAAATTAATTTAATTATTTAAGTAAATTAATAATTAATAGAAAATAATATTGACAATTAAACTAAATTATTTAAATTCATAAATAAATTATTAATAAAGTAATAGTTATAAAATATAGATAAATAATTATTTTATTATATATGTATGTATTATACATATTTCAAAACAACATTATTTATTCTATATATAATAAAACATATAACACTAACCAATGTTTAGAAAGTTGGATGAGACTAGCTAGTCAGGTTATTGTTAAATCATGACCCAACCCTTAACCAATTCGATCATACACCTAACCCTATTTATCAAAAAAAAAAAAAAAAGCCAAAACCATCCACCAAACTGGTCTAACCCAAGAACTAATGAACTACTCTTGGGTAAGTTTTTTGCTACCTATGTGTTATAAAGTACTGAAGGCACCTTACCCTGCTATTTTAGCCATAAAACAAGGGTGATCATTTTAGTGAGCTGGAAAATTTCGCTCTTGGACCTAGATTTTGTGTTTAAGCCTTGGCCGAGGTCCGAGCCCTCATTAGAGCCCCAAATTTTAGGGTTGGGCATAGGACTAATACTTTAAACCCGCCTTGGGCTTAACTTGACCCACAAATATTTAACTATATGTATATTATAGATAATATATATGTTATTTTATATTACATAGAAATAGGGCATTCAATGGGTCAGGTTCAACCCCACGAACCCAATGTTCATGAACTGATTAAGTTGGTTATGGTTCTAGGAATTAGAACCAATGAGTTGACTTTGGTTCCAGATATATTGTCCCGATTATTATTGGTTTGGAATTGGTTCCACCTAGTCCTGAATCGATTCAAACCCGATCCAATAGTCGGATTTCTTCTCTTCTCCCCTCTTAGTGAAACCTTTTTGTGTTGTGACATTATCTTATTTAGGTCATAGTGACCAAAATCTAATGTTCAGTCTATAACACCAATGACCAACCATTCCCATTGACCTTTATTCACTAATGACATAGAGACAACAAACACGTTACAACCAAAGGCATGGGTCATGGCATATTTGGTGTTTCATTTTTCATCTCAAAAAGCAAAATGCCATGCCACAAACAATGAAAGCTAGAGGTACTCAAATTTGGTTACCGAAATGAAAACCAAATTGAACCAAACTAAATAAACAAATTTAGTTTGATTTATTTGATTCTTGGTTTGATGGTGACTTAGTTGGTAGGATCTTTAGTTGTCGTAGCAAAGACCTAGGATCAAATTCCGTTGCCACTAAGGTTGGAGGATATGGTACCTCCCATTGTGTAGTTCCTTGAAGCATACATATATATATGTGTGTGTGTATGTATATATATATATATATATATATATATATATATATATATATATATATATATATATTATACATATTAATAATAATATATTATTCACGAGTTTATAAATACTAATATAAGTGGATCCAAACCGAACCAAACTATATTAAATTCAGTTTGGTTATGACATAGTTTGATTCAATCTAGTTCATAAAAATGGTTAAATTGAAATGCTAGTTAGGTTCTTAGGTTTTTTTTTTTTTTTTTTAAATGTTAGGTTCTTCGTTCTAACCAAATTGAATCGAACCAACTGAATGAAAACCACTAGAAATTTGTAGTTAAAAAATTTTATTAAATAACTAGTAAAAATCATTAAATAATTAAAATTTTTAAAATATAATTAAATAATTAATAAAATAAATTATTCAATTAAATTGTTAAATAACTAAATGATAGAATGATCAAATAATTAAATAATTAATAAAAAACTATTAATTATTGCTAAAATAGTATAGTAACCACGATAAATGATTAAGCAACTAAAAAGACATTAATATAATTAAGTGACTAAAACATTAGTGGATTATTGCAATTATATTAAATAAATTTAATTTTTCTTTATAAATGGTTGAGATTGAATGGAAGTAAAAAATTTGAATGACCCGCTAAAATAATTGATGTGAACTCTCTCCCGCGCACAAGAAACCCTTTTCCCTCTCTATTCAGCTTCTCTCATTTGCATCGAAAACATCCTTTTCATCTCCTCCCTCTTCTCTCATCTGCCTCTCTTCTGCCCCTCCCTCTTCTCATCTCCTCCGTCTCCTGTCTCTGTTGCCCCCTCCCTCTTTTTCGAGATGCTTCTTCTCACTCTTTTCAAATTCTGAGAAAAAAAGTGAGTTTCGCGGTTTCCCTCTCGAATTATGGCGGTTCTCGTTCTATTTCTAGGGTTTTAAAACTCATCTCTTATTTCAATTTCTGATCGGTTTCTCTGCCAATCTACGACTACGATGATTTACTCTTTTGCTTATTTAAGATCCTCTTCGTTTCAAGTTGCAGAGATTGAAACGTCGACAAAAGAAAGGTTGCTTCCTGAACTCTACTATATCTTTATGTTCTTCTAACGGATGGTGCCATAGCCATGCTTTCTAATGGGGAGGCGCAAGGAGCTGACTTGAAACCCATTCTTTAAGTTGTCGATATTATGTTAGTGAACACCCAGCAGCGAAGCAACAGCGAGCGGTAGATACTGCTCTCGGATGCGACGCATCTGCAACAAGGAATGCTTTTAACCCAGATGAATAGTTTGGTTAAATCGGGGAAACTGCAGAAAGGCTCGGTAGTTCGGCTTACCCAGTTTGTCTGCAATGTCATCCAGGGCCGAATGTGAGATCAGAATCCTTTCTTTTCTCACTAGTGTTTAACTTTATGAAAGTCCATTAAGTTAGATTTTTTCATCTTTTTATATAATTGTTTTGTTGCTTTGTTTTCCTGCAACTTGCTCCAATCATTTCTTGTTGTTAGCATGCACCCTTGGTTGTTAAATAATGGAGAAAAGGGAAGAAAAAAAAAATCAAATGCTCAGGCTTGTTTATACTTCTTTTCAAAGCAGAAAAATACCTTTGATTTGGAATTTCTGAGGACAAGAATGAATAAAAGGTTCGGTTCCATTTTCCAGTGGATCTCAGTAAAGCTTAGGGTGTTACTAGTTTGGGACTCCACTGAATTTCCCCTTGTTAGGTACATGAACAAATTCAAGATATGACGACATAACTAGAACTTTGGGTGACTCTGGTCTTATTTCTGACTTCTTGATTTGATTGGCTCCATGTGTGACATCTTCCTTCTTAGTCTTACCGCAAGGTGGTTAACCATTACCTATGACAGGTATTCAGTGAGGCTTTATTGCTGCTTGTCGTACTTTGTAAGTCTCAACCTTGTAATGAGAACCACCAAATCAACCTGCGAGCTGTGCACTTCACATTTTCTTTTGGATTGTGAACCTTCCTAGCTTTTATGCATATCTTTTGAGCCTTGATTCAAGGTTGGTGTCATCTAGTTTTTATTTTCATTGAGGGTAGATGTCTGAAAAGGAGAAGAATTCAGACATTCTGAAGTCAATTGGGGACATCTAATAAACATTTCTGTTTATGTCTTCCAAAAATAGCCTTATTGATGTTAATATCTGAGATGGTTCAAAGATATCACGTGATTGTCTTTGGTATGAGAAAGAGACACTGTATTTTAGTTTCTTTGTTGTATTTTAGTATTTCTTGGTCTCCAACTGGTTCTTCTTTATGTGGTCCAAGTGTTTGCTCCCCTGTCTATAGAAAAACTAATCTGTGAGATGAAATGGACCCTGTAATGTTTACAGTTCAGAACTAATCCAAATACTAAATTACTAGGTATAACCAAAACCTAGTACAACTGTACAAGTAGGAAGAAGAAAACTGATTTATCAGTAGTTGGATAGGTTGTACACCTCACTTGCGTTCTCATTCTCAGGAATATGACATTAACTGGTTTCCAATTCGAGGGAAGCCTTGACTTACGGTTACCATTTGTCTCTTTGGCAATCATAGGATGGAATTCTTTGTTCTCAACTCTTTTTCATTTTTGTTGGTCTTCTCATCATTTTTTCATTTTCCTTTTCCCTTTTACCCTAATATAAGTTTCAATTATCCAAAGAAGGCCCCTTCATTTGAAATTAGAACTTTAACCAAGAAGATGATAGAGTAATGGAAAGCTGAAGTTTGGTGTTTTCCTTTGTTGCATGCTGCTGGATCAATTTAAGTAGAGATGCATTCAAGGAATCAATGTTAGCCAAAAAGTGACTGTAAGGATGTTCTTTGAACATATTGGAGAAAGGTAGTTCTAATGGTGAGTAAATTACATAATTTTTGAAGTTGTTTCACATGTTCTCCTCTACTTGGATGAAGCATTATCAAACAGGTGTTGGAATCCAACATTGTATGGATCCCTATCTATCTTTTTCATTTTCTTTTACCCTTGCTTATTTTTGTCCTTTTAAGATACCTTTTATCTCCCTCCACTTCACCTTTGATGCATTCTTCCATTTATAAAAGAATAAAATGATTATATGAATTTGATGACTTCCAAAGATGATCTGCCAAGGAGTTGGGGTATAATACATTAATACCAGGCACTTGTCCAAAGAGATTTAATATCTTTGGGGTGGTCCCCGATTCTCCACCAGTTTCTGGTGAATTTAATCAAGTTAAACCTTGATGGATACAGTACGGTATAGGTGGATTTATCAGAGATTTTATTACCTATCTTCACATTTTTTTCATTATGTATTGCATATTTAATTAGATCATCAAATTAATCATTGTTCTAATTTTTTTCTTTGTATTTATTCGGGTACATGTTTCCTAAGAAAGATTTATCTAGGTAAGTGTACTTATGTAGATGAGATATCTAGGAAAATAAGCTTTTCCTCATCTTCATATAAATTTAAAAAAATACATAAGTTTCTTGGTCAATAAGAATCAAAATCCTATTGACTAACTTTTCTCCCTTTCAAAATAAAAAAAAATGCCCCCAAAATTGACCAAAAATATAATAATTAAATTAAACGAATTATTTAATTTATATGGTCACCTTACCGTGGAAAAACATTTATATGGCACGGAGTTAGGTGGTCAAGTAAGTGGCAAAATGGGTCATCAGAACCCGAATGAAAAAGTATAACCAAAAGCTTACCATTACAAGGGGTTTGATTAGCCAAAATATACATTTGGGTAAAAAATAAAACCTATTTGGATTGATGAAGAATCAAGGTCCTCCTTGTATGTGTCTCAAAGCCACTACATTCCAAAACCAAATGCATATAAGAAAATAGAAAATGATGTGAATGATGGAAAACAAAGGCATTATAACAAAAATACTTTACAAAATAGATTTGTTAGAAAAATTAAGTACCTATTCTCTGGACGCATAATTTATTTCCGCCATAGCTGTTGATTGCAAAACGGAAACTTGTGGGGGACATACTTATTAGTACGCTGGACGATTGAATTAATCCGGTCCAAAATATTTAGATTGAATTAACTTGGTCAATTGTAAAAAAACATTATATTGGAATGGATTGGATTAAGAGGGTGTTTATTAAATAAAAGCTGTGACATAGTGCCACTTCAGCATTTCTTCCATTATGTGAATTTGCATGTATAGGGACTTGCAAAAGTAGGTTTCGGTTTATGTTCACACCTACCATTGGGGGAAGCTTCATTTTAGTATTTCCCCCAACAAGTAATTTATTCATTATTTTGCTGATATGGTGTCTATTGGTATGAGTTGTTCCACCCCTAAACTAACATAATAACAGTTTTAAAAATAGTTTGGGCCACCAAAGACCCCAACCTTATTACCTATCTCCCCCCTGATGCCAAAGGTCAATTAGCTATAATCTATATTTATATTACCTATAAAAGAGCGAATGCCCCTTTGTGGAATTTTCATTGGACGCTTTCTATCCCACTTGTTTAAGCATACAATGGGCATAAAGAGGGTATGCATGTCCTTTACTCTTACTTTAGAAACTGTCCACTTATAACTGTTCATAAACTGTCTACTTATAATTATTTAGAAATTGTCCATGAATTATAAATAGTTTTGTCTTAGAGATATTGCCATGTACAAATGCATGTACATGTTTACTAGTTGAAGAAAAATGAAGTATTTCACATCTTTCAATAACTCATCTTTTCTACTTGCCATTTGTTATTTCTCTCTCATTTCATTTAGGGAGTCATCAAAAGTATTGTTTTTCTAATGCATATGATGTATGTTACGTGAAAATAGGTAGAATTAAAAAAACAAAAAAATTGAAAAAGGATAAAAAGACAGATATGCCAAATCAGATCATTCTGTTTTAATATATATACTAGCGGAGGGGCCCTGTTTCGTAGGGCTTGGAATGGAACCATTGACCCGTTGACCCATTGACTCGGTTCCTAACCTTAAACCGTTGAATTGATTAACGACCCAATGACCTGAGCGGTTGAATTGTCGATTTATTGACCTGTTCAATGGTTTTTTACTGTTTATTTTTTTTTAATTTGGAACCATCCAAGCAACCGGTTTCATTTTATCCTAATCTCAGTCCCTGGTCAAAAATTGTTAAATCAATCAACGACCCATTGATCCAAGTGGTCGAACCGTTAACTTGTTCAATGGTTTTTGGTTGTTTTTTTTTTCTTTTTTTAACTTTTGTTGTTAGAACAGGCCATTCGTTCAAATCGAACAGTTGAACCATCAACTCAAAAATTGATGGCCAAAATGATTTCGTTTTCAAGTCGTATGAATCATAAGCTTGAATGACAACACGTATGGTACTACTTAATGGACCTCACACACTCAATATTTTGTCTGTAATTTTTTTTTGTCAGAACGGGTCATCTGTGTTTTTATTTTTTTAATTGGGAAATGTCCAGGCAACTAGTTTCGTTTTACCCTAATCCTAGTCCCTGGCCAAAAACCGTTGAATCGGTCAATGACCCATTGACCCGAATGGTCGAACCATTAACCCATTGACCTATTCAATGGTTTTTGGCTATTTTTTTTTAATTTTTGTTGTCAGAACAAGCCGTCTGTTCGAATCGGACAGTCGAACCGTCAACCTGAAAACCGATGACCAAAATGGTTTCATTTTCGGGTCGTATGAGTCACACGCTCGAATGACATAATATGTATGATATTGTTTAATGAACCTCACACACGATTTTTTGCCTGTAATTTTTGTTGTTAAAAAGGATCGAATTGTCGACCCAAAAACCAGTGGCCAGAACGATTATGTTTTCGAGTCGTATGAGTCACACGCTTGAATGTCATAACATGTATGATACTACTTAATGGAGCTTACAAACTCAACTTTTTGCCTATAATTTTTATTGTCAGAACAGACTGTCCGTTTGATCTGGATGATTGAACCATCGACCCAAAAACCGGTGGCCAAAACAGTTCCATAATTTTTTGTTTGTAATTTTTGTTGTCAGAACGGGCTATCTGGTCGAATCGTCAATTGTCAGAACGTTATTAACAACATTTATCAATAATAGTAAGTAATTATACTATTTAATTAAATAATCATTAATGATAGTTTTAATAATATTATTTAGTTATTTTTAATATAACAGTAAATATTAAATTTATGAATAGGATTTATTAATAGTATTCATAAAATTAATAATTACGAAAATTAAATTAAATTAACAGTATTTATTAGTAAAAGTCAGTAATTATAATATTTTATTAAATAATCAATAACAATAATTTTAAAAACATTTTAAATTATTTTTAATATAACAATATTTACTAAATTCATTAATAGTAATTATAAATAACAATATTTATAATTTTAATTTAAAATACAATTAAAGTAAATATTTATTTATTAACAATATTTATAATAATAGTAATTATTAATTATAATCACTAATTATATATTTATTAAATTACTGTAATAATCAGTAGATTCCATTAATTACTGTAATTACTGGAATAATAATCACTAATTATATAATAACAGTAATTAATAGAAAACAGATGCTCTCACGTGGGAATCTACTCGCATGAATAGATTACATTTGTTGCACGGAGAGAGCATCCGTTTTCTATTAATATATATATAAGATATGGATGACACTTCATGACAACTAATACTTAATTGAAGTATGTACATGTTGTAGGTTCCATCATAGAAAACTAAATTACATCAGACGGTCAGAATAGTTGACCCAGGAAACATCCAGGCAACTACTGGTTTGTTTCACCCTAAAATTATTTATGCGCCAAAAACTATTGATTTGATGAATAATCTGCTGATTTAGGCAGTTAAATCGATCTAAACAATGGTTTTTGGCCATTTTTTAATTTTTTATTTTGGGTTCCATGATTATTATTGTCCAAGTCCATGCCCATGTGGCTTCTCAACTTCAGTAGGGCCCTCTTTGTGTAATCTTACTTCTTTGGGCTTCTCAGCTTCATAGGGCCCTTTTTCAGCTCTACTTTGCCTCATGATCCACTGCATCACTGCCCCAACCTTGATGAAGGTGGATTTCAATCCCAGGCCACTTCTATGGCCATGGACATTATTGGCAAGCTGGCTGGCACCGTTGCATGAAAGATAATACTTGTGATTTATAGCAAGATTTTTAAAAGTGAATTAGACAGCGAATCGGTTAGGGATCCAGTTCCCGGGTCAAATATGATCCAACTATTTGAATTGAATGGGCAGCCCCTTCTGATAAAAAAATAAAAAAATAAAAAAAACCAAAACCATTGGATGGTTCGAATGGTTTGAATGGTTCGACTGCCCAGGTGAATGGTTTACTGACCAAATCAACGGTTTTGGGGTAAAACGGAACCAGTCCCAGGTTTTTCCGATCTGACTGTCTGGTCTGGTCTGCTTTTGAAAACTATTATTTATAAAAAAGAAAATCAATAATGCCTGAAAGACATGATATTGAAAGAGTTTTGACCAATCAAAGCATTCAGTGAATTTTGATAAATACAATTTAGTCATACCTTTTATGATATTACTGGATGTAAGTTTTTCCCCTAGGAAAACTACTAATGAAAACGCTTGTAAATTTTTAATTAAATGTTTATTCAATCGAAACATGTTTTGTAGACCAAAGATAAAGTTTTTTCCCCATTTTTGTGTACTTTATATAAAACTAAAATATATTTTTTTTTTCTTCTTACTTTTTATCTTTATTGTATTTCATTAGTTTTCATCTTTTATGAATAAAAGACGAAGTTTTATTCATAATAACAAATAATGTAAAAAATTCAGGAAATTTTTTTCTTTAACTGATAAAATATTAAAATAATATAAAATGGGATATATGGTAGATTAGGATTTAATGAGCATAACCATAGAACCATGG